ATTCAGCTGCGTGCCACCTTCCCCCGCCCCGCCCCGCCCCCGGCATCCTGCCACCAGGGTTACACTGATGCAAAAAGGTTGAAAACCCCTGTGCTATGCAATATATCCCATGCCAGCTACTCCTCCTTTCATCTCCCTTCCACCCACCCCTATATTTTCACATTAATATAAAACAAAATACTGAACAAACTACACCTGAAGCTCTACCATGAAAATGTCTAAGCTAATGAGCCTGCCTGTGTGCTGTTTGCAGTTCAAGAGATGGGGTTCAGCACATGGAGTGCTGTGGTATGTTTGAGGAGTGTAGGTTGTGGTATGTTGGAGGCATTTATTTTTAGTGAGTTTGTGCAACTATAGAAGTTCAGATATTGTTTTATCAGTGAATCTGATGTTATTGCTTTTATGTTTAGTTTTGAACATCTGAATTACAACTTCATCTAGTGTCTAAATGATCTTTCTTTGCATCTCTTTAATTCAAAATTCTAGTATTTTTTTTCTTTTTCAAGTCTGTGCTTAAGGTTTTTAAGAATACATCAACTTTTGCTTTGTTTATAGATCTTTTAATATGTCATACTAGTGCTCAGTAATTATAGAATTATATATTTTATTAGTTGAAAGTAATGCTGATTGTCATTTGTCTTTTGAAATACAATTTTCTGTCCCTTGTGGCCAAATCTGGTTCTTTGCCTGGCCAGAACTTGGATTTATATCAAAGATTTGTCCTTTTAATACAATCATATGGCCCACTGCGTTAAACTTGGTTTATGTCCTTTGAATTATTGTCTTCAATTATTCTTGCATATGGAAGGAAGGGGGTGGATATTTGTTTGTAAACTAAATTTAAATATTTGCTTATTTCCCTGAAGGTTCATCCTTATTTTAGGGCAGATTATTACAGGAGGTTATTGCTATATTGAGAGACAATAGCTAATCAGGCCAAGTCACAGGACATCACTATTTACTTAGCTGGATTATCTAACTTCTTCCTCTGAGTGAAGACTTAAAACACATGCATATGTCCTCCTATGTTGTTATAAATATTTCAGAGTATTGAATTGCCCATCTGTGAGTCATAAAAGAAGAAAAGAGAAGAACAAGATATGAACAAAATTATTGGCTCATGGTAAAACAAATTTATGTTCCTGGATGAATGCAGAAAGTAGTTACAGGATCAAAGGTTTTATTTAAAAACAAAACAAAACAAAACCCTACCCATTATGACCTCTTTGGGTGCCTGTACACGTGCAGGACGCCTGCTCCAAGTCATTTTAATTAGAATACAACAGAGCAGACTCAATTAATCAAACAGCCTTTCTATCACGTGTATTCAGTGTCCCTGTGTTTC